TTTTGGTTTCAAGTTTTTCACTTCAATTATATACGTATTATTTTTGACCGTGGTCGAAATTCGATCATTCGGTATGAGTGATATCTCATTTCGAAAGAACTGAAATGTTTCTTCTGGTGCCGAATCGAATTGACATTTGATTGTTAATGTTTCACCTTCATTGAATGTTGTTTGAGGTATATCCATGGTTTGACGAGTGACTGGCTTAGGTATAACTTTGAGTTGTACCAAAGGTTGTTGTTTATTATCAATGATAACGGTATAGACTCCTTGATCTTCAGGTTTAGCTTTATTGATCTGGATTTCTGTAGTTGTAGTTGATGTTTGAGTAATTTGTATATGATCCGAAGGTTTTACGCGCTCGTTATCTCTTAGTAAAATTATGTCTTTATGCGTTGTACCCTGGGGTAATTCTACGGTCATAGTAACAGTAGTAGTTTCTTCAACTTCTTGAATTGGAGTTTCGATTTGTTCCTGAGGCTTAATAGCCAAAATTACGTTTAACGAAATTTCGAATAATAATTTTAAAAAACTTACCTGTTTCTTTTCGGTTATTTCTGTGACTTCTTCTTCTTGTTGAGTAACCGTTCGAGGTTGCTCTTCTTGAGGTACAACTGTAACTATTTCTTCTATTGTTACAGTTTCAGTTTGAGATTTCTTTTCTTCAGGAACAATACTTATTGATGGTGTATCAAGAATCAAATGATCCGATTTTAGTGTATAAACACCCTCATCTTCTTCTGGTCGAAGATCGTTTACTACTATTGTGTATTTATTATTTTCAACAGTCGTAGTTACACGTGAATCTGCAACAATTGGTTTATCGTTGTGAAGAAGAATGAATGGTTCTTCTGGTGTTGCATCAAATTGACAAACAATAGTGAGAGTTTCTTTTTCATTAAATTGTGTTTTTGGTAATTGCATTTCTTGTCGAACAACTGGTTTTGGATGAACAATGAGTCGAACAAGTGGTTGTTCAACACCTTTCACTTCAACTGTATAATCACCTTCGTCTTCAGGTTTAACTTTAACAATTTGAACTTCAGTTGTTGTAGGTGATATTGATGTTATTTTAACATGATCGGAAGGTTTAAGTTCCTCTCCATTTTTGAGTAGAACAACATCTTTTGTTGTTGTATTTTGTGATTTCTCGATAGTTAAAGTAATTGTACTTGTTTCATCGACTTCTTGCACTGGCATTTCTGTTTCGGTTTTATATGTCTACGAACAAACGAGTTTAGTTTAAATTGAATAAGAACGTACGCGATACGTTTAGTTTGCGAAAAAAAACTTACCTCTATCTCTCGTTTTTCTATTTGTGGTGCAACTGTAATTGTTTCTTCTTCTTCTATTGTTACAGTTTCATTTTGTGGTTTCTTTTCTTCAGGAACAATACTTATTGATGGTGTATCAAGAACCAAATGATCTGATTTTAGTGTATAAACTCCTTCGTCTTCTTCTGGTCGAAGATCTTTGACTACGATTGTGTATTTATTATTTTCAACAGTAGTAGTTACACGTGAATCTGGAATAAGTGGTTTATCGTTGTG